GTTGGAAGCCACTTTTGAGTTTGTACCAAGAGAAAGGTGTGATAAGAATAAAATAAAACAAAATATTGACAGACCTGGGCATCCCAGTAGTATCCTGGCCATTGCTTTCCCAATTCCATACTACCCATTTCAGCATATTGAGCAGGCTAATGTAATAATGAAAGGCTCCGAGAAAGAAAACCATTCAGCACATTTTGGGCTTCTTTAGCCTTTTTTATTCAGAGCCTAGAAAGAATATTTTATTTTTAAAACCCTCCAATTCCCATTGGTGATGCTGGCTTGGGCTTTGGGGGATTTGTAGTCCCAAAAAGTCACTCTTCTAAGCTTTCTCCTAAACAGAGCAGCATGAGTCTGATCAGATATTCCAGGCCTAAACACAGAGCTCTCCAGTATAAAAAAGGCTGAAAGGGAGAGGATAAAACTCAGGAAACAGCCTTGGAGTTAAACATTTTATGCTCAGTCTGCATAGTTTGATTCTCCCCAAACACTTTCAAATGTGGCTGAAATGATAGTATTTCCCCCGCTTGCTGTGCCACATGCTGTGCAGGTATTAGGACTGTTCCATATACTATGAATTTTTCATACAGCCTATGAAGAAAACTTGATTTTATGCTGCAAACTGGATCAGGCATTCTTGGGGGAAACACTTTGCAATGTTGGTGAGCTTAAGTCTCTTACTTTGGGTTTGCCCTGAAAGAACCATATTGGAATTGATTCTCCTTTCCTGTTATCCAACATGAGAAGTCAACACTTCACAGCTCTCCTTCCTGAAATGGAAGAATGACATTTCTGGGCTCCCTTCCCTTTCCTGACTTCAAATGACAGAGATTGTTTTTTAATTGCTGAACTAAAATGTTCTGCAACTGAGCACCATTGAAAGCTATATGATATTATCACACATATGTGTTGGCTGCACTACCTCCACCTAACAGAATGGTTTAAAGAAGATGTTGTGGGTTTTAGTATGAAACCTTGCCTCATGAGCAACTGGAAACAATGGTTCCATCTGCATCCTTTTGTTCACTGCTGCTGCCATTTCTATCAATGTGATGGCTTTTACGTCCCGCCTCGGAGTTTAAGATCTTCTGGGAAGGCCCTGCTCTCGGCCCCACCACTATCACAAGTGAGATTGGTGGGGACGAGGAGCAGGGCCTTCTCAGTGGTGGCCCCTCGCCTGTGGAATTCACTTCCCGGGGAAATCAGATCATCGACATCCCTCCTCTCTTTCAGAAGGAAACTAAAAACATGGATATGGGACCAGGCCTTTGGGTAATCTGGCAGCTAGACAAAGGACAATGACGACTAGAATTGATAGGATTTGACAATGTGGAATGAATGTATGGATTCTGAGCTGGCGAACGTTGAAAATTAGATTGGTTTTATTGATTGTGATATATAACTTGATTGTTTTAATTGTTTTATAATTGCTTTTTGATACATGTTTTATTTTATTATTGTTGTTGGCATCGAATTGTGCCTTTTGTAAGCCGCCCTGAGTCCCCCCCTCGGGAGTTGAGAAGGGCAGGGTAGAAATGCGCGAAATAAATAAATAAATAAAATTTTAAGGTTCTCATGGCTTAAGTCAAGGATCTCTGTGCCTAACCTATTTTCCATGTGTCAAAATCAACCTCCCGGAACCATTTTTCTCCAGAAGTGTCAGCCTACTATCTCCATTGTGTCCACCAAGACAACATTCCACATAATTAGTTAGTTGTGTTGATAATTGCAGTCATACAAATTTGGCAAAGCCTCCTGCAGCTAGTCCCTTGATCAGAACTTTCCAAACATTTCATATTGGTGACACATTTTTACACCTGCATCAGTTTGCAACACAGTAATTAATTTTACTAACAAAGTGGAGATTAAAACAACCCCTTATAAGAGGTATGGGCACATGAATATATTGTGATAATGAAATATATCTCATAAAGACATATATATATATATATATATATATATATATATATATATATGATTACTTGATTATTTCACACAGACTGAAATGTTTCTCATTACATACATGTCCCCAAATATGTCCCCAAATGCACTTTACTAGAGACCCAGGATATCAGCATGCCCCATCCTCCTCCAAATACTTACCCTTTTCACCTGGTCTTGCCCAGCATATTTTTAATTTTTAACTATTACATTTGGCCCTTCCATGGATTTTAATGCGTTGTGGTGTTTTGTTAATGTTTATTGCTTTGTTTTGAGTTCATTTTGTTGTATTGTTGTTGTTGTGTTTTTATTGATGTATTTGGGCTCAGCCTCTTGTAAGCCGCACCAAGTCGTCCAGGAGATGGTAGCGGGGTACAAATAAAGGATTACTATTATTATTATTATTACTATTGTGTCACACCTATACACTGCAGCCAAGTGAAGAATCATAAATCTAGGGTGGAGGTATGCAAATAAAGGGACAGGACTTATAAGGCCAAGATTGTCTCAGTTCTCAGTAGTTCCTGCCAAATTCCAGGGGAGAAAAAGACAGACTGAAGTCAGAACCAGGATGCATTCAGGAGGAAATAACACTTCATCCTCCATGAGCCACTATAAGTCTAGCCACTAGGAATAGACTTAGGAATTTATCAAACAAGGCATAGAAATTGTAGTTAAAGCAGGACAACATCTTTGCCTTGGACTTCTCACTTCATGTCACTGTTTTCCTGGAGCCCCTGGTTGTGTAATGGGTTAAACCTTTTTGCAGCTCAGGACTGTTGACAGAAAGGTCGACGGTTCGAATCCAGGGAGCAGGGTGAACTCCAGTCTGTTAGCTCCAGCTTCTCGTGTGGGGACATGAGGGAAGCCTGCCACAGGATGGTAAAACATCTGGACATTCCCTGGGCAGCATCCTTGCAGGCAGACAATTATCTCACACCAGAAACAACTTGCAGTTTCTTAAGTCACTCCTGACACACACAAAAGCTCTTTTCCTAATACTCTCTTCTTGGAGTGTATTGATAAGTGCGTGTATGTTTTTTTAAAGGAGGTTATTAGCAGATTATTTATGTTTGTAAAAGAAACACTTTCCAGGCTGTTTCCCATTGAGGGAGCAGCAGGAAAGGAGTGATGTCATATGATAAGTCCAAGGCAACAACATTGTTGTCCTCCTGTAATTTGCAATTTGCCTGCCTTGTGTGATAACCTTCCTAGTCTCCACCCCAATAGTTTCCTTGAGTAATCCCTTAACTTTCTGATATGCAAGTGCAGAAGAGGACAAAATCTATCAATTTATCTTGACTGTGTGTGCACCTAGGTCAAAACTGAAAGAAGTCCTGCAATTTTCCATCAGTTTTGGCCAGGTTCTGTAAAAAGTCAGATACTGCAATGTTCACAACACTGCCTATCTTTCACAATCATACCGTGTGGCTGTGAAAACTGGCTAAAGAAGGAAGTTGACAGGGAAAGAATCAGTTCATTTAAAATGTGCTGGAGGAGAGTTCTAGAGATACTGTGGGCTGCCAAAAAGACAAATAAATGAACCTGAGAGCAATTCAACCTTCAAGCATCACTAAAAGCAGGCAAGAACTGGAAAACACGACACACTGGAAAAGACAATAATTTTTAAGAACCGAAAGCAACAGAAAATGAAGAAGGTGGATTGTTTCAATCAAGGAAGTTTTGTGCCTGAGTTTGTAGAACCTGAGCAGAGCCGCTGATGAACAGGACTCATGGAGGTTTCTCATTTAAGTTGTCTGTAAGTTGAAGCCAACTTGCTGGTATTAGTAATAACAACAGAAGTGAACTGGGGGAGCTTCCAGACAGGGCCCAAAATGTGGGGTCTATCAGTCTTTTACCTGAAGTGTCCAAATGATGTCTCAAGTAAAAGCACTTTAATTTGGGACAAAGCAGGTAAACCCTTTGTCTCGAATTAATTTGATACCCCATTAGACCCAGGCCTTCCTGAAAGGTCTGGGTCTAATGGAGTATTGGGCCTTTGGACTACATAGGGGTCAGTTCCCACAGTCATCTCCTTCTTCAAGCTTCCAAAAGCTCAGAGGAGAAAGATGGCACCCACCCCCTTCTCCCCCCAAACCCCCAAACAGCCGCAAAAAAATGTAAAAACATATCGGGCAGCCATTACGCTGCTCCAGCAATCCTGGCACATAGAAACAATGTGTCAGGAGATGTGGGAGGGGGGGTATTGCACACACATACACACAGCCTTCTGGAGTCATTTTTATGCACCAGGAGAACTGCCAGAGCAGCATAATGGCAGCACAGTAAGTTTTTGCATTTTTTACATAGTTATCAGATTGGCATGGGGACACTCCACCAGGAAAGCCCATTTTTGGGGAGAAGACATGGGGACTTAAACCTAATTCGACGTGGGTTTAAGCCCTATCTGGAAGCACCCTGGATACATGTACACCCAAAACTGAGAGTACCTCTTGGTGGCTCTACAGTCAATCAATGGGACAGTGAAACTGCTCAATGTTTTGGTCTAAAACAGTGGTTCTCAACCTGGGATCCCCAAATGTTTTTGGCCTACAACTCCCAGAAATCCCAGCCAGTTTACCAGCTGTTAGGATTTCTGGCAGTTGAAGGCCAAAAACATCTGGGCACCCCAGGTTGAGAACCACCAGTCTAAAAGCTATCCAAGGTGCTGACTCTATCTCTTTAACATCTTAAATCACTCATTACATACTAACACCTGGAGTGGATTCACTGCTCCATTGACTGACACCAAACCATCCAACACCAGTGCAAACCGACATCCTTGCAATATGCAGATCTCTGTTCCATATTTCTCTCTCTCTCTCTCTTGCCTGATCCAATGGCAGGCATGTTGCTAACTTCAAGAGGAATGGAACCTCTACTCTCTCGCTCCGGCTCTCTCTCCTACCACAATATACAAACGTGATTTCAAAGTCTTGGATGGCAAACCCAGTCATGAGCAACCAGTTGAAAGTGCAGCCTTCCATCAGGAGGGACAATATCTACTTTGAGGATTTAACTAACACAGTATGGAAACAGACTCATGGTGTTTTCTTCCCTACCTCGGCATGCTGGCCAGGGCTGAGTTGCCGTTTGCAGTGGTAGCACTTCAGACAAAGGGGGTGGTAGTCTTTGCCTAGAGAACGCTTCCTCTCAGCTGTTAACAGAGGAGAGAAGAGGTAGGAGCAATTATACACCAAGCATTTCATTAATATAGGAACATATGTGAAATGCTGCTTTGATCCACAGAATGACTTGCCAAAGTAATTTCAGAATGAAAGGAGTCGCTGAATCTTTGAATGCAGGCACAATTTGGCATTTTCCCCACCCTGTTTTAACATCTCGGTTTTTGCAACATGAATCTTTTTGAAGTTTGTTCAAACTTTACATATTGGATATTTCGTTACTTTGCTGGGACAATAAAGAAGCTTTCATCATCACTTCAATCAAGTCGCTTTTCCCCTCTTCTTTTATATTTTGCCATATTTGTGGACGAAAAAGAAAGACATATATTTTACCCCAAGTCACATAACTCTTAGTATACAGTATATGATTTATATTTTCTAATTAGGGGGGCATTTATGCTTCTGACATTTCCAAAGAAATTCCTCTGAGTGTTCAGAGGCCCATTTTTCATTGCAGGCTGAAAAAAGTGTACTTTTGTATGAAAAAATCAAATCAAATGTGGATTGTCAGATGTGTTGTTTAGCTATTTTTATATTTGAATTTATTGTTTATACCTCTTGCCCTTGTTCTAAAATACTCAATACAATCAGCATGGCTCTCTCATCACTTTCATCATCACAATAATCCTATGAGGTTGTTCAGACTGAGAGAGAGCATCTCAATTCAGATTATTTTATTTGTGCAAGAGCCTATCCAGTCTTCTCTTTGTGCAATTCCTACAATTAAGCTATGATAAGTATAGGATTCCCAGTTCAGTTCACCTGTTTCCTAATTCAGTTCATCTGAACTAGGAAACAGTAATTGGAACAAGGTAGAAGCTTAAGCCAACTTGAAACCATTGTTTACGATCTTAGGTTGCTCTGGAGCTCCTAACCACGGTTTCCCAGATTGAATAAAACAGGAAATTGGCTAACTAGAGGTTTCTTTTTCATCCAACTCACTAAGAAGGGTGTGGACAAACGACAATTATATGCTGGCTTTCAGAAGGAAAAATATTCTTGTTCAACCATGACCAGTGAGAAACTAAGCTTCATGGTTGAGCGGGGGTTTGAATCATATTTTCCCATATCCTAGTCTTACATTCTAATCGCTGCGTCACATCAGCTCCATTTACTGGGTAACGATACAAATTTCAAAAAACATCCAAGAAACAAGTAGAACATTATCATACACCAGCCAACTGCACTTTCCTGCTCTCAGAGTTGTGTCCACTGATTGAAGATGCTATAGGTACCTTTGTCTCAAGCAGATCTGAAACACCCAACATTAGAGTGGTGGATCCTAACATGTATTGTTGAACTACAATTCCCAGAATCCTTGACTGTTGACCATGCTGGCTGTGGCTTCTGGGAACTGAGGACTTATCACATGAGATGCCTCTCCCAATACAATGGTGTTGTCTGTAAACATTATTCAGACAAAATTGCCTAATTTCCTATCAGATCTATACAACCCATTATGCAAAGTAAGCATTTGCAGTATAGTTAATTTTGCCCATGGGCGCTCTTGGGGGAAAATAGACCTTTACATATGCGAGTTGTAGTTACTGGGATGTATAGTTCACCTACAATCAAAGAGCACTCTGAACTCCACCAATGATGGAATTGAACCAAATATGGAACACAGAACTCCCACGACGAACAGAAAATATATATCAGTGATTGGTTGGGGGAGACGGGTGCCAAAATACTGTTTGCTTATCGTTGAAAATTACCTAGGGCCGCCTCTGGATCTATAGAATCATTGTGGGATTGCAGCAGTCATTAGTGCTAACAATGTGTCACACACTGTGTTTTGGACTGTCCTCACACTACCTTCCCCAAGACCCTATCCCCACATGTTTTCATTATTTGGAATAAACACTGTTTGGAATAATACATACATATTATTCTCCCTGCAGTGTAAGACACCATGGCATTATAGCATTGTAGCACTACAAAACCCTTATATATTTTGTAACACTGCCCAACCCTCATATTTTAATCTGCTTCCAGCAAAGGAATGAGAGCTGCCATGGACATGAAGCCTGCAGTGCCTGTTCACCTCATATTTCCATTGCCAGGGCATGAAAGGAAAGAAAGGCTGATCTTTGGAGCTGAGTGCAGCTCTCTGAGAGCCACTATCATTCATAGAACTATATTTCCCCAACCAAAGCATGTTGAAATGTTGTTGTTGTTGTTGTTCATTCGTTCAGTCATCTCCGACTCTTCGTGACCTCATGGACTAGCCCACGCCAGAGCTCCCTGTCGGCCGTTACCACCCCCAGCTCCCTCAAGGTCAGTCCAGTCACTTCAAGGATGCCATCCATCCATCTTGCCCTTGGTCGGCCCCTCTTCCTTTTGCCTTCCACTTTCCCCAGCATAATTGTCTTCTCTATGTTGAAATGACTGCCCCCAATTACCGAAAATTGGAATAAAGGTTCAATTGAAATTTTGCACAGGAAAAGCAGGAAAGGAGCTCATTGACTGATATTTTTTCAGCTAGAATAAAAGAATCAACAACTGCAAAATAATAATGTCACAAGTGACAACACTATTACTCTGATGTGGTTCTGCTTTACCCACTTTGTGCAATAAGACCCTGGGAGCCCAATAACATCTGGGACCCAAAGTTGGAAAGCACAACCTGGCTGGCCTTTGCTAAACAGCAACTGGAAAGGGTGAGTACTGACATATGGAGCTTCATATTTAGGAAGACAGTGGAGAGAGAGAAGCAGAGGAAGGAGCTTGGAAATGAGGAGAGACAGGATGCAGTGTACGAACAGCTTCCCGAGACATGAAGGAACAGAACAAACAAATTGACCATCCAAATAGTTAAAGCAAAGGAATCGGACTCAAACCGAGCTGCTCTGCTTGTTTTGCACCCAGCTGTAGAGACTTCATGTCCTTTGTGCTAGGGAAGCCCATAGAGTACACTACCCTAACTGCCCTGGATAACTACTATTTCCCCATAGCACCTACTGTTAGGGGTAGTTAGCAGAAGAGAAGCAGAATAACTAAAGAGTCACCTCAGGCTTAGAAGCCACAAAGAAGGGAATGGAGCATGGAAGGGAACAACCATCTTGACAAGAAGGAGACAAAAATGCCCAATAAACAGTGAATAGGAGAGAAGGGATTGTCCCTGCTTTGAAGGGTCTTGCATTCACACAAATGGTATAAATCTAGAAATTTTAGGTCATTTTTCTACGCAACCTGCCCCCCAATCCCCGTTTCTAGACACATTTAAAACAGAAAGATAATGATTTATGATGGAGCCTATCCCACAACACAAGGGGACTTCATAAAGCCGCCCCAGGTCCCTTTGGGGAGAGGGGGCAAAATACAAATAAAGATTATTATTATTATTATTATTATTATTAGTAGTAGTAGTAGTAGTACTCGACAGGAAACTGTCCCAAAAGTACTAGAAAATGGGGGGGGGAGGAGAGATGGGGGAAAAGATGGGCAGAGATTTTCTTCTGAGCTCAGGAATTAGTATGAAACTGGAGAAAATAGCAAAAAACATGTGGGATGAAATCTGTCAAATTTGCCCATGTTCAATCGTTTCAGTGACATGGAGTAAGAGGCTTTCCTGTCCCCTACCAAACACTGACATTTCTCCTCTAAAATCTTTCTTTTGCAAGCCTGGCATGGTAATTTTCAAAATAATTAATTACTTAATTAGAAACTAGCCATCCCCTGCCATGCATTCCTGTGGCCCAGTTGGTGTATATTTGCTGTGTGTATGAATTTGTGTTATGTAGTTTAGCTCATGCATTGTAATGTATTTTTTGTTTTTTGGCTTTTGAAGTCCCTTCTACTGTGTTTTTTAGTGTTTTTATGAGTGATGGTCACTCGTTGGCCTGATAGGTGTATTGTGTCCAAATTTGATGTCAATTCTCCCTGTGGTTTTTGAGTTGTGTTAATAAACAAAACATTTATATTTATATAGATACTGAAAAGCACACTTCTGAAATGCTGCTGTTTTTGTGCATTGGCATAATCTCTGTACCTAACAGATCAGAGACAACTAGGTTATCAGTCTAACAGATAAAAGCCAAATTGCCTTGCATAAATACATGCGGATATATACCACTGAAAAGAAGATTTGACTCAAATGAGTTTTTTTGCTCTTCTCTGGAAGATCATACTTTTACAAAAGGTTATTATTTTCAAATGGTTGTAAATGCCATTTTTCTCCAACAGGTTATGGATATTCTGGTTTTCCAAAAGATTATTATGAAAAACACTGAGGCTATGCCCCATGCAACTGTCTTAGGTCAAAACCTAACATTTCAATGTTAATAATATATTTTAAAAGATGGTCTTCTTTATAAATCCATCCCAACTGAAACAAGCTGTGGTTTGTCCATTCCTTAAAAAGGTCTCCCTGGACTCCACGGTGCTGAACAACTTTAGACCAATCACCAATCTCCCTTTTTGGGTAAGGTGCTGGAGCGAGTGGTCGCCTCCCAGCTCCAGGGCTTTCTAGATGACAACAAATACCTGGATCAGTCACAGTCTGGTTTCAGGCCTGGTCACGGCACTGAGACGGCCTTGGTCGCCTTGGTGGAGGACCTCTGTAGAGAGCTAGACAGGCGGAGTGTGACCCTGTTGGTTCTCTTGGACATCTCAGCGGCTTTCGATACCATCAATCATGGTATCCTTCTGGGTCGACTCTCTGGGATGGGTCTCAGGGGCACGGTTTTGTCGTGGCTCCGGTCCTTACTGGAGGATCGATCCCAGATGGTGAAGCTGGGAGATGCCTGCTCGGACCCCTGGCCTTTGACCTGTGGGGTCCCGCAAGGCTCTATTCTGTCTCCCATGCTTTTTAACATCTACATGAAACCGCTGGGAGAGGTCATCCGGAGTTTTGGAGTTAGGTGCCATCTCTATGCAGATGACACACAACTCTACTACTCATTTCCACCTAACTCCAAGGAGGCCTCTCGAGTGCTGGACGAGTGTGTCTATCTGGATGAGGATGAACAAG